GCATATGACGCCCAACGAAACCAGACCCAGTTCCTTGGCCCAGTCGACGCACTGAGATCTCAACGCCCTTCGGAGATCTTGCCACCTGCGAACAGGAACAGGAAGCGGCAGAAGGCGCAAGGCTCCCACTTTGAAGGCATAACGTTTGCCAAATTCATGAGAATCTTGGGGTTCCCGTTTGAGGGACCAATGGCCTGCAGCTAGTGTGCCCAAGGCCACTCAGCTCGAGACATTTGTTGCTTGTCGGAAGCCGGAAGAATCTCAATTCCAAAAGATTCCCCACAGCAAGGAGTCCACAGCAGAAGTTGCACAATCACATAAACATAGCCTTAATATATATATATAATCTAATGATTCTAATATATTTAATACATCTTACAGATCGAAACTCCCTGTAGCTAAAGCCATGCTTGGCCATGAATGCTCTAGCCCATGCTAGGAAGGCCAGGCATCCGGCTCCGTTCCATCCCTGGAGACTCCCAGCCACAGGGGCCCGCGGCGTGGTCGGCCTCGACGACCTCTCCTCAGCTCGAGTGAGGCTGAGAGCTACACGTCTGACGGCTCGACCCATGGGATGAGTCTATGCCATGCAGGAATAGTGGATGATGGTTAGTAAGACAATGATCAACTCACTGCTGCAGGAAATGGAACAGGACCCAATCCATGGGATTGATGCTTACACAGATTGCAGAGCTTGGCCAGTTGCTCCGCCAATCCAGCGGATGAATCCAACCAAGACCAAAACTGCCTCGCCTCCTACACAGAATTTCCCGCTGAACCACTCGCCCCTTTCGCGCTCTTCCACAGGGTGGTGCTGGTGTCACCTCCAGTAGCCGATGGTGCTCTGACGCTTCCAGCTAGCAGGTGGCGGATGGACATCGCTCGCGCATGCTCGCGCGGGCAGGAATGCTGTGTGGCCCGGCGGCGTCTTTGCGCTTTTTCAGCGAGTGGACTGTGGGAGTCGGCATGGTGTTTCATCATGGGTGTCTGACTTTTCATGGGCCGAGTCATTCAAGAACGGCACTCCGAAGATTCAGAAGCTTCACCGTCCCTAAAACTCCAGTCGTATCATTCTAAGAAGGGTGGGACTGGGGTGGGGTATGTTCAGGGTCCCGTCATAGCGAACCTAAGGAGGTACAACTACAAATGACATCAAATTGTTTGATATCGACTTTGGCACCCTTCGAACTCCGACTTGTCCACCGGCTCAGCGCCCCGAGTTCCACACACCGAGAAAGAGGCGACTGCAGCCATCGAGCGACCGGTTTGGCACGGCGAACGTCTCGAAAACGTCCAAAGCAATTCGTTTTACAAGTCCCTTAGGGCTCCTTTGGCTCATCTCCTCAGGTTCGGTTGTTAGACCCCCCAGAACCACCCACCCCAACCACAGAACCTCAGGAGGTGGGCCAGGAGCCCTAGGGAGTATACAGGATTAATAAGTAGAATGACATGGATAGTGACTACTATACGTTCAGTGCCCCTTGAACATCAACGACTTGAACCAAATTGTCCACCTGTTCGATCGGAGTGGGATTTCTGCATCCCCTCCTTTCCCCCGCCAAGAGTTCGATTTGGGGCAGTTGCATCATGTTCCTCGGGTTGGAGAACTACTGAGTACATGAACTTGAAAGTCGCCTGAACAACACCCATAGCCTGGAAAGTTCTAGGCGCTAGGCGGGCTAGCAGTTAGAATTGACTAACATCGAATACAGTGGCACAGTGGTTTTAAAGAGTATATAGATGGCACAACCCCCAAGATGTGACAAATGGGGGGGTCCGAGGCCATTTCAATCGAGCTTCGAATACCTTGCGCCATCGAACCTCTGAAACCACCGGCTTTCTGGGGCCATACATTCCTACCCAATGCAGCCGCCGTGGACCCTGACTCTGGGAGATCAAATGTAATAACAAATGACATGGCGGGAATGGGAACTCGGTTCGAAGTGGTTGAGTGGTTGAGTGGTTGAGTGGTTGGTTGGTTGGTTGGTTGGTTGGTTGGTTGGTAACTTCAGATCCGATCAAGCAACCCATGTTCTCACACCCAGTTTTAGCTCTCTCTCTCTCTCTCTTCGGTGAACTGGCTTAACTCTCTCCTTCAACTGTTCCTTAGAAGCACTATCAGATTCCGTTTGGCTTGGTTGAAGACCTGGAAGGTCCCCCACATCCCCAACGTAGCGTATTTGAATAAGACCTGTAAACACTCATATAGATCATATGTATGGGTTCCAACAAATGCGAAGCAACCACGTATGACAAGGGGGGGGACATAGCCTGGTGGCGTCCCAGCACCCTTGAGCTCCGAAGTCTTGGTTTTCAATCAAGTGATTCCTCACCGAATCCTCTCTGACCTCACCATCAAACCGGACTCGCGACCGCGTCGCCGAAAACGAGAACCGGACTGCAGCAGGGGGGTTGCCCAAGTGGTTCAAATATTCATCCGTGGATTCCAACCATCATGACTTTAAGGTTTTTTTTATACCGAACCACCAGCTGGCTTGCTAAGGATTCTGCATTGTGTGCAAAACCGGATCAACAACTGGACTTCCAGGGTTCAGTCTTCAGTGCTTATAGTGACTCACTCAGTGGCTCAGACCCTGCTCCATCCGTGGAGCCAGCGGAGTCCAGGAATCGGGAATAACAGATTCACGATCCACTTCTGATAAAATTCACCCAAAGCACTCCATGGGACTGCCATAGATGCCGCCCCAGACAGACCCCCCCCGACTTCAACCACCCTGGCCGTTTCTCGGCAGTCCGGAGAGTGGTTGAGTCACCCATGATCAAGATCACCCGCAACAGATTTGGCCCTCTATTCTGTTTCTATAAGTGATCCACCTGACCCGATCCGCATCACCAAGCCTTGGATGTAGCATGAGGCATGAGCTTAGCACCCCCCTTGGGCCATCCCCCTGCTTGATTTTCCGGCCTTTTCCGGCCTACCTGGCCTACTTTCGTAGGACCAGTGACCTGATCACCGCGGTGCTTTTCAGATTCGGCCTCCGACCCCTCTGCTTTGGCAGATGGGTCCGGAAGACCGCCCGCTGATCGATCGCTTCCAAAAGGAAAGCAAGACACAGTGTCTTTGTGATCACCGAAGCATGGTGCGAAGTAAGATGCAGAGCTCCTCTGTTTTCGGTTTCTGCTTTAACATCAGCGAAGAAAACACTGGACATCTGCGAACGGGAAGTCACTCACCGTTCCTGGTTTTGGAAGGGCAGGGGCGGGAGCTGTTTGCTTTTTATGCAAGATGCATTCACCCCACATGAGCCCTGGAACACCAGGAGTTTCTCGAAGAGATATTTTAGGGGTGGGCCAAACATATCAGCAACCCATGGGGGGTCCGCAAAATGATGTTTGTCAAGCTGGGAGACACACAGCATAAGCATGCATCTCATGCATCAGCTTGGAGTGGAGTCCAAAGGGCTCATGGGATGAAATGAATTTTCCCCAGCCTCTTGTCTGTGCAAGGTCTGAGATCTCAAGCTACCCGTGCTACGCGGTTTGGCAGGGTCCATGCCCTACACCTGTCCAACCTCTTGACCTCCACCAACCTCATCCTAGCTGCTCTAGCTCATCCGACTGTATCCCAAAACAGGCTGTCCTGCGAAGGGAGACCAACAAGTTCACCAGTATACCAGAAGGGCTTTGGAGTTACTGTCCAGGAAAAAATCATATCCAGGGAAAATAGATCATATATGATGTATGTATGTATGTATGTATGTATGTATGTATGTATGTATGTATG